AGGAACTACTGGATGAAGGAGTAGTTGTCTACATTGATGACATCCTCATCTACTCGGAGACTGAGAAAGAGCATGAACTATTGGTCAAGAAGGTACTACAGAAGCTTAGGGAAGCTAAGCTCTGTGCCTCGATCAGTAAGACCTCATTCCATGTCCGAGAAGTAGAATATCTAGGCTATCACATCTCGGAAGAAGGAGTATCAATGTCAGAAGACAAGGTAGAGGCAGTTAAGGAATGGCCGGTCCCTGAAAATATCAAGGCAGTACAGGCATTCCTCGGATTTGCAAACTTCTATCGCCGCTTTATTGAAGGCTTCAGTAAAGTTTGCAAACCATTAACTGACCTCCTGCAAAAGGACAAGAAATGGTATTGGACGGCAGCACATGAGCAGGCCTTTGAAGAACTCAAGAGGCTGTTCACAAGCGCTCCAATCCTCCTTCATTTTGACCCTAGTAGGAGAACGGTGGTCGAGACAGATGCCAGTGATTTTGCCAAGGGAGCGGTGCTCTCTCAGTATGGGGATGATGGGAAGCTACATCCGGTGGCATTCTATTCTAAGAAGTTCTCCCCTGCTGAGATCAACTATGACATTCATGATAAGGAAATGGGAGCTATTGTAGCCTCTTTCCGGGAATGGGAACACATGCTCAAATCTTGTGAGCAAGAGATCACGGTTTTTACAGACCACAAGAACTTGGAGTACTTTAATTCTACCAAGGTTCTCACTAGGCGGCAAGCTAGATGGTCTGAAGACCTCGCAGGCTACAATTTCAAAGTTGTCTACAGACCGGGAGAAAAGAATGGCAAGACTGATGTGCTATCTAGGCGCTGGGATCACCGCCTTGGAGAGGGAGGTGAAACTCTGCAGCCGGAGCCACAGACCTTTTTTAGGCCAGGTCAATTGGTTTTGGATCCTGCAAAGCTAGCGGCTGTCAGGGTGAATCAGTTGCAGAATACATTCTTAGAGCGCCTATACACGGCTGCTAAAGAGGATAGTTTCTGGCAGGAATTGCACCGCTCCCTGGTTGAAAGGAAACCAAATTTGGACCAGAACTTGTCGGTCAAGAACGGTCTCATCTTCTACAAGAATAGATGGTACATACCCAAAGACAAGAAGCTTCAGAGGGAAATACTGTCCGATACCCATGACTCTAAGGTGGCTGGTCATTTTGGCCAATTTAAGACACTAGAGCGGGTGAAAAATAACTTCTTTTGGCCCAACATGGATAAGGATGTTGAGGAATATGTCCGGAGCTGTGACAGCTGCCAGAGGAATAAGACCTCAAGACACAAGAAGTTTGGTATGCTCCAACCGTTGGAGATACCCTATCGGCCATGGACTTCCATCTCTATGGACTTCATTGTGGGACTACCGGAATCTAGTGGGTTTACAAAGATCTGGGTAATAGTGGACCGCTTTTCGAAGATGGCACACTACATCCCTCTTCCTACCCTCAATAAAACGGAAGATTTGGCTAAATTGTTCTTGAAGGAAGTTTGGAGACTCCATGGTTTACCTGATGACATAGTCTCGGACAGAGATAGCAGGTTCATCTCTCACTTTTGGCAATCTCTCATGAACCTCCTCAATGTGAAGCTGAAGATGTCCACATCTTTCCACCCCCAAACGGACGGTCAAACAGAAAGAGTTAATCAGACCCTGGAACATTACTTGCGGAGTTATTGTTCATATCAACAGGATGACTGGGCAGAACTCTTGCCTTTGGCAGAGTATGCTTATAACTCGGCGGTCTCTGAGTCTACCAAAGTATCGGCTTTTTATGCCAACTATGGATATGAACCCAGGACCAACTGGCCGGCCCCAAAGGAAGGAGTAGAATGGAACAATCCAGCGAGCGAGGTCATGATATCTCAATGGGAATCTATCTGGCAGGCTATGAACGCCAGCTTGGGTAAAGCTAGATTAAGGATGGCCCGGTGGTATGATGCTCATGCCCTGGCACCGCCTGAAATCAAGCCCGGAGATGAAGTTATGTTGGACCGGCGCAATGTGCAAACAAAGCGGCCTTTGGGAAAACTGGATCAGAAGAAGATGGGACCATTTAAGGTCTTAGAAGCTATTGGTACCCGTGCCTACAAGCTCTCTCTTCCCCCCCAAATGGGAATCCACCCGGTCTTTCATGTCTCTCTTCTGGAACCTTACCGAGCACCGGTAGATCCTGAGAGAAGAGTTCCTGTACCGGAGCCCGAAGAGATTGAAGGAGAACAGAACTGGGTTGTCCGAGAGATAGCCGATAGCCGGGTCAATAAGAAAAGGAGACGAGTGGAATACCTAGTGCTGTGGGAAGGTTATGAAAACGAGGATGCTACATGGGAACCTTGGGAGCATCTCAAGAAGAGTGCTGAAGAAGCCCTTCGGGATTTCCATATGAGGTATCCTAAGAAACCCAAGGACAAGCGGATTGTTGGGGTGTAGATTATTTCCTCTTGGGTTTTCATTTCCTTGCATATCATGGAGTTTCTTGTCATATAGAATGAATGGTAATAGAATGGTTATAGATCTCGGAGACCAAGATCCTGGAAGAGGGGAGTGGTGTAACGGAGCCATTTCAACTGTCTGGTGTATGAGTACACACAGGGCCCGGTTACATGCTGAGAGTTATTGTTAGAAGCCAGTTGCACGGTGTCATGCAAGTACCGGCAGTGTGGTTAGCTACCAGCTGTTAGAGTAACTACATTCCGGGCACTAGGAAGAGGATCTATTCATGGGAGCAATGACTGACGAGTCTATGCCTCGCCAGTGACTAGAAGACCGGCCAGAGTGAAGCTCTGATTGCCCGGTGATCCTCTATATCCTGAGAGCATTGTAAGTCCGCCGAAGGGCAGGGACTATGCTAGGGAAGTCTACAATAAGCGAAAGCTCTACAGCAATGATTAAGCTTACACCTGAGTGGCAGCTCATTCATGCAGGTCCTCGGTTGTGTGGCAACCAAGGCTGCAGGTGTTACAAAGGCTTTGACTAAGGGTGGTTGCCTTGGGTATCGGAAACAACTGCTGACGCTTAGAGAAAAGCGGGGTAGCGGTGGTATTGTTTCCGGTACTAAGGGAAGGCCCACCGGAACTTAGAAAAGGAAGTTAGGAGCAGAGAACAGAGGCCTTCGGAGTATAAGTACTCAGGTTCATTCTCGCCCTTCAGTCCTGTTCTCTCCAGTCTTCATCAGAAAGAAAAACCAAGTTCTTATCGGTAGCAGAGTCCTTAAAGATTATTGAGTTCTAGCGATAAAATCTTTGAATAATCTGCAACCTGATTGTCTATCTTGCACGGCCGTCTCTATTCTATACAAATCTATTTCACTTAGAAAGGACCCCCGTTACACAACCACCCTTAGTCAAAGCCTTTGTAACACCTGCAGCCTTGGTTGCCACACAACCGAGGACCTGCATGAATGAGCTGCCGCTCAGGTGTAAGCTTAATCATTGCTGTAGAGCTTTCGCTTATTGTAGACTTCCCTAGCATAGTCCCTGCCCTTGGGCGGACTTACAATGCTCAGAGGATACAGTGGATCACCGGACAATCAGAGCTTCACTCTGGCCGGTCTTCTAGACACTGGCGAGGCATAGACTCGTCAGTCATTGCTCCCATGAATAGATCCCCTTCCTAGCGCCCGGAATGTAGTTACTCTAACAGCTGGTAGCTAACCACACTGCCGGTACTTGCATATCACCGTGCAACTGGCTTCTAACAATAACTCTCAGCATGTAACCGGGCCCTGTGTGTACTCATACATCAGACAGTTGAAATAGCTCCGTTACAGCATGATGAGGACGGAGGTGATATTGCTGAGAAAATACACCACCTATACCGGGAATGGGCTGATGTGTTCAGTCAAGAGAGGATTGAGGAAATACCGCCGCATTCCCATAATGATCTGAAGATCAAACTCTTGCCTGGTACCTGTTACGGGCATGCCAAGCATTTACGGGAGTGAGAGAAAGGCTAGTAGATATCCCTATACCCTTTTTACTAATGGCAACACCACTATCAACTCCGGTTCGCACCTACGAGGTACGGTGCGATCAACATGCGACCAAATGCGGAGTTGCGGTTTTCCTAGTTAAAAAACACGTTTTTGACCCCAATAATAACCCCCGGAGCGTCAAACCGCCGGAGGGGAGTGTTTTGGTACCGGTGGATATATGAGGGACAGCTGGAATCAATCGGATCGAAGATTGGACCGCTCGGAGCGAATCGGCGCAAGCTGCCAGCCGACCGAGTACCTATCGGCGGTACCTGTGGGCATGAGAGGACTCTGCTATGTGGGAAAGCGATGTGGGAAGAGGCCTGAGTAGGTAGCCTTGCTGTCCGAGACCTCCGAATAGCCGACGCTGACGATTATCCACCAGACGGCCGATGGTTAAGAAACATCGACAGGGAAACGTGCATTAGAGTGGGTAAATAGGTTGAGGGGTTTCAGCGGCTTTAGGAGTTTGGGTTACGGACTTAGGAGTTAAATGTTCTTGGTTATTTTTCAGGGTCTCGGGCATGCCCCAAGTGTATTCTGTATTATTAGTAGACTGGGTCCTCGAGGCATAAGCGAGGGATATAAATACTGTGTCATTCACTGACTAGCCAAACCATCATCGGCGAAATCAGAGTCTTAACAATATAAATCGTTGATACGCGAGTTACAACTTTATTTGACTATACTTTTGGAAATACTTTATTCTATCGTGACTTCGAACTCTACCTGAACTATTACGTCGAAGACGGTCGAACATCACACGCTAACTCTAGTGAATCTTTGTTGATAACGTAGCTCGCGGGGCCCGTATCGGATCAAGGAGAATCATACTCGACGTTGACTGAAGAGACCTTGGAGACTTCTACCTTTGTAGCTGTTAGCCGAACTCTGAGCTCCGCGTAGTGTACTCTGGTGGTCTGGTACGCATCCCTCACAGTATATTGTTACTCACAAGTTCACTTGGAGTAACGAAGTCACCTCAAAGAAAAGAACTATCATCGTTATCCCCTATCACAATGACTACCCGACGGGATAATTACTTCATAGATACCTCGGCCGTAACTGAGGAGGCCGGAGGAGAAGATTCTATGGTGATATCAAGGGCTGCTAGCCCAGACCCCCTACTTACGGGAGGACCCTCTACAACAACTAGGCAATCGAGTAAACGCTCTGCTCAAGCCCAGTTTGTGAGGAATATGCAGGAGTTTTTGGATACCCATGAGGCTCAAATGAGGTATCTTGGTGCAGCTGGACAGGCCGTTTGGCAGCAGCTACAAAATCTCCAGGAGCAAGTCCAAGGGAGTGGACAAATCCTGGACAAGAAGGTACGGCAAGAAGCCATTGCCCAAAAACAACATCTGGAATCGCTCTTTGAGCTCGTCTCCAGTGTCCAACAAGCACACGAAGCTGCACGAGCCGCCGACCACAAGGTTCTGGAGCAAAGCCATCTGCAAACCCAGAATCAGTTACAGGAGGCGGAGCGACAACTGAGGATCGTGAGAGAAGAGCGGGAGCAGGAAAAAGGGGAGCAACGAGCTTGGTTTGCGGAATTCAAGCGGTCCGATGCGGAAAGAAACCAACGGATAGCCGAGATGGAGGAACTACTGCGACAACATCTGTCAGTAGCACCTTCTGTGGCAAGTGCTCCTTTAGACCCTAATGCGCCCCGAACGGTTCCTGTTGGTAATGGCAAGAAACCCGAAAATACTGGCCCAGTAGGAGGAAACGCTGGTCCCGTAGGAGGAAATGGAGGCAGGCGACCGGAGGATGCCGGCCCAGTGCAGGGCAATAGTGGCAGAGGACCGGTGGGAGCTGCTCCAGTTGGCGGGAATGGTGGAAAGCAACCTCCACAAAACCCACCAAGAGGAAACGTTGGGGGAGACCCAGAACCTTCCGACGACGATGACGACGACAACAGTGAATGGTCGTACGGTCGAAAGAACTGGAGAGTGAACCGAGGCGGGAACCGGAATTCGGCGCCGCCCGAAGACGAGGATATGGTAGATTCGCTCGCCAAAATACCCTTTGAGTTCGATAATGCCAGGAAGCATAACCTGCGGCATTGGCTCATGGAGTGCGAGATCTACTTCGAGCAGAAACCCAAGAAGTTCCGAACGGACAAGAACAAGGTACTGTTCGCTGGAACGTATACGTGTGGGTTGGCAAAGGAGTGGTTCATGGAATACATCGAGACCAAAATGCTAGGACCGGCAGCCGCGGACTACGCTACTTGGACTCGTTTCCGTCAGGAGATTAGGAAACGCTTCTTAAGCACTCAGGAGGCTATGGAGAACGCGATGAAGATGCAGCAGTTTAAGTACTCTGCTAACATCGGAGACTACCTGACGAGAATGGAGATCATGAACCAGCATGCTCAGATGAAAGGAGCATCCTATCGCGCCGCCCTGCTCCAAGGGCTACCAAATGAAATCCGGGAGCGCCACTCACGCTTCGATCCAACCGATGACGACTCCGAGTACATCCAACAGTTGGAACGAGCCGGCAAGGCTCACGAGGCTTATCAAGAACAGATGAGGATGTTGGGGAAAGGGGAGTCGAGAGGAAGGGAGTCCAACAATGGTGGGAACTCGCGGCAGAAGGAGAAGGGGTTTAAGATCAAGGGGAGGGCTCAGACCGAGGAGAAGGAAAAAGGACAAGATAAGAAGAGCACCAGCAAGAACAAGTCGGGGAATAAGCCAATATACCACGACTACGACGAAGCCACCAAAGGAGTTCCACAGCCGGTCCGAGAACAGCGAAAGACCGATGGAGCCTGTGTGCGATGTGGCCGAAAGGGTCATCTTTGGAAGTGGTGTCGTTCAGATGCTAACAGCAGTGCATCTATCTCCTCTTTCTCCCGAAAGCGTACCCGCGATGACGATGGCGACCACGATATGGAACCACCAGAACCCCAACCTCAGAGAAAGCGAATGAGGCACCGTGCTAAGAAGCCAGCTGCGACGGCTGCCGCGGAGTACACCAGTGGGCAAGCGTTTGTGCGAGAACGCGGATCGGAATCTGAGATGGATTTCGACGAGGATTTTTAAAAGGGGACTCTGATGAGTCAGGTCAGGAGTATCCCCAGATTGCTATGTTATCACTGACGGAAAACAACAAAAAAAATATGAAAAGAAAAAGGCAGGAAGGGAGAGCGTCCTAACCGGAGAAAAAACAGAAAATTTTGGAGGAACCTATTCATGGTCCTCGACCTATCGTTAATCAGTTCCTTTGTTTTGCGGAAAAATGTTTACCTTGTAAGGTGTTGTTGGATACTGGTGCAACTGGTCCTGTTTTGTCTGCTGTTTTTGTTGATAGTTTTGAGGTCCCGAAGGTGAAACGAGACGTCCCGGCCCGGGTATTTGGATTTACGGGAGAAGTTATGAAGGGCACGGGACACGCCTTTACACAACCATTAATTATAATGTCAAGGGGGCATCAAACACAGTTGTCATTCGAGATCGCCCCTCTCCCACTTGGCATCGATGCGATACTACCGAACTGGTGGTTGAAAGAACATAAGCCGGTACTAGGGGCAAATGGGGAAGTTTCCTACGATGGCGAGAACTGTAAGAGTCGATGCTTCACTGACAAGGAACCTCAAATAGAAATGGACGAGGGTGTACTAGACGATCCGGAGGCCCAATTCATCGGTAGTATTTGTCTTCTGGAAGATGAATCGGTCAACCTCCGCGAAACTCTTCCCTCTTGGCTCCATGGGTTCCTTAAAGTCTTCCTACCATCGGAAGCAGACAAATTACCACCGCATCGATCTTACGACCACGCGATAGATCTCGAGCCAGAAAAGCAGCCACCATGGGGACCCGTCTACTCCCTATCCGAAGTCGAACTGAAGGTGCTTCGGGAGTACTGTGAGGGATGCGTACCAGACCACAAGAGTACACTACGCAGAGCTCAGAGTTCGGCTAACAGCTACAAAGGTAGAAGTCTCCAAGGTCTCTTCAGTCAACGTCGAGTATGATTCTCCTTGATCCGATACGGGCCCCGCGAGCTACGTTATCAACAAAGATTCACTAGAGTTAGCGTATAGAATTCGACCGTCTTCGACGTAATAGTTCAGGTAGAGTTCGAAGTCACGATAGAGTAAAGTATTTTCAAAAGTATAGTCAAAATAAAGTTGTAACTCGCGTATCAATGATTTATATTGTTAAGACTCTGATTTCGCCGATGATGGTTTGGCTAGTCAGTGAATGACACAGTATTTATATCCCTCGCTTATGTCTCGAGGACCCAGTCTACTAATAATACAGAATACACTCGGGGCATGCCCGAGACCCTGAAAAACAACCAAGAACATTTAACTCCTAAGTCCGTAACCCAAACTCCTAAATCCGCTGAAACCCCTCAACCTATTTATCCACTCTAATGCACGTTTCCCTGTCGATGTTTCTTCTCCATCGGCCGTCTGGTGGATAATCGTCAGCGTCGGCTATTCGGAGGTCTCGGACGGCAAGGCTACCTACTCAGGCCTCTTCCCACATCGCTTTCCCACATAGCAGAGTCCTCTCATGCCCACAGGTACCGCCGATAGGTACTCGGTCGGCTGGCAGCTTGCGCCGATTCGCTCCGAGCGGTCCGATCTTCGATCCGATTGATTCCAGCTGTCCCTCATATATCCACCGGTACCAAAACACTCCCCTCCGGCGGTTTGACGCTCCGGGGGTTATTATTGGGGTCGAAAACGTGTTTTTTATGACTCTGGGTTTTTTGGTCGTAATTTGGTCGCACCACACTCCGCGAGTGTGGTCAAGAGTTGATATTAGCGTACAGAGGGTATTGGGGTATCTACTAGCCTTTCTCTCACTCCCGTAAATGCTTGGCATGCCCGTAACAGCTTACCCCCCTTCTAGGGTGTCACGTCTCGGGACATCTTCTGACAGACTATGGTTCCAGTAAACCTGCTCCACATATCACCCGCGGTGTCTGTGGAGGGGAAGGACTTAGCCCCGTAGGGTACCTCTATAGTCTCAGGCGTTGGTCCTTCACGGCCTTGGGGTTCCTTCGATGGAAGTCGCGGACAAGGTCAAGTACTTCCTCATTCATAGCGTCCATGACTTGATACGTACAGTCACTCATCGAATAGCCCCGCCATTTCACCAGGTATTCCACTAATCCTCTTCTGCTTTTCCGGCTCCCCACGATACTTTCCACTTCGTACAGCACCTCTCCTTCCTTATCGACCTCTTCGGGAGTTGGGGGACGTTGTTCTCGACCTGGGATACTGCTCTGTCGATACCGTTCCAAGAGTTCAATATGGAACACATTATGGATTTTGACTTGTGGCGGCAGTTCCAGTTCGCAGGCTCGTTTCCCGGCTAGTCGGATGATTTTGAACGGGCCGAGTTTCTTGTGATCGAGTTTCTTGGTGGAGCGACGTGTCTTGATATTGGTCGCATTGAGCATAACCATGTCTCCCACCTTGAAGTTAGGCGGTTCGTCCCTTTTTCGATCATAGTATTTCCCCATCTTCTCCCTGGTGTCTGTTAAGCGAGCGAGAGCAGAATCATGAACCCCTCGGATGAAGTGAGCGTACAGGTCACTAGTTGGGTTGACCACTTCGGCTTCTGTTGGCCAGTTGGTTCTTGGGTTATAACCGTAATTGGTATAAAACGGAGATTGACCCGTGGCGGTGGTAACCGAGTTGTTGTAAGCATACTCCGCCAACGGGAGTAGCTCTGCCCAATCATCTTGCTCGTAGTTGCAGAACGCTCGTAAGTAATGCTCGAGGGTTTGGTTGACTCGCTCTGTTTGCCCATCGGTCTGAGGGTGGAAAGCCGTACTCATTCTTATCCTCACGTCCAATAATTCCATAAGGGATGCCCAAAAGCTTGAAGTAAACTTGGCGTCCCTGTCGGAAACTATATCAAGAGGCAGCCCATGGAGTCGCCAGATTTGACCGAGGAATATCTTCGCTAAATCCTGCGCGGTCGTTTCTGCTACTAGGGGAATGAAGTGCGACATCTTCGAGAACCTATCGACTACTACCCAAATTTGGTTGTATCCCTTCGATTCCGGTAACTGCACGACGAAGTCCATTGATATCGATTGCCAGACGGAATGTGGTGTGGACAATGGTAGAAGCGCACCGTACTTCTTATGGCGGCTGGGTTTGTTGCGCTGGCACTCGTCACATGACCGAACGTAATCATCAATCCACTCGTTCATTTTTGGCCAGTAGAAGTTACGCGTGATGAGTTCCAAAGTTTTGTCTTGTCCAAAGTGTCCTGCCACTTTCGAATCGTGTTCTGCCTGTGCGATTCGGATCTTGATACGGTCGTCTGCCGGAATGTAGAGTCGATTCTTATAGAAGAGTAGCCCGTCTTTCTCAGCGATATCCTTCATTTCCCCCAGCTTCTCTCCCTGCTCAACTCTCTCTTTCAATCCTACCCATGTCGGGTCTCCCGATGCCGCCTGCCTGACGTGATCCAGGAAATTCTTAGACCAGTCAATCACCCCCTTGGAGGCAAGTGACACCGCTGATACCACAAACTCTTCCTCCGCCAACTGTCCGGGCTTAAAGAACTTGTCTATCGGCTGTTTCCCAAGCGTGCCTCCCCCTTCAGGACGGTACTCCGGCCGTCGCGATAGTGCATCTGCCTTCCCATTTTTGGTTCCCGGGCGGTAAATAATCTTGAAGTCAAATTCCGCCAAAGATTCAGCCCACCTTGCCTGTCGTCGGTTAAGAACCTTGGTTGTTGAAAAATATTCCAAGTTCTTGTGATCCGTATATACGAGAACCGTTCGGCTAGGTCCTTCGAGGTAGTGACGCCATTGCTTGAAGGCTGACACAATTCCCAACATCTCCTTATCCCAGACGTCGTAGTTGAGTTCCGCTGGGTTAAGTTTTCGAGAATAGAAGGCAACAGGGTGAGTCTTTCCGTCAATAACCTGGGATAAAATTGCGGCGATAGCAAAATCACTTGCGTCCGTTTCCACGATAGTCTGGCGATCTGGAGAGAAGTGTACCAAGATCGGCGCAGACGTAAACAGGGTTTTGAGTTTTTCGAAGGCTGCTTGGGCCGTCATAGACCAGACAAAGTTCTTAGCATCACCCCTGAGACAATCGGTAATGGGTTTACAGACCCCGGAGAAATTGTGGATAAACCTTCTGTAGAAGTTGGCAAAGCCCATGAAGATCTGTACTTCCTTAACGCTGCGCGGGGCTTGCCAATTCGTAACAGACATAACCTTATCCAGTGCCATGGTGACGCCTGCTGGGGCAAGGATGTATCCGAGGAACTCGATTTCGGTGAGCTCGAAGAACGATTTCTTCGGGTTGGCGACCAGGTTGTATTCTTGTAGCCTGCTAAGTACTTTGCCGACCAGCTCCCTGTGTTCCTCTCGGGACTTGCTATATATTAGAATGTCATCAAGGTATACTACTACCCCTTGATCCAGGAATTCCCTCAGCGCATCATTCATCATATTCTGGAAGGTCGCCGGCGCATTTGCCAGCCCAAAAGGCATAACGAGGTACTCAAAATGCCCGTACCGCGTACGAAAGGCTGTCTTCCACTCGTCGCCGTCTTTGATCCTGATGAGGTTATAACCTTCCTTCAGGTCAATCTTCGAGAAGATAACCGCGCCTGCCACTCGATCTCGCAGCTCGTCCATAAGCGGTAACGGATACCTGTTCTTGATGGACACACGGTTAAGTCCACGGTAGTCAACGCAAAGTCGCAGACTACCGTCCTTCTTCTTCACAAATAGGATTGGGGCTCCTGCAGGAGATTTGCTTGGCCTAATTTTTCCCAATCGCAACATTTTGTCCAGGTATTCCCGAAGCACCTTTAGCTCGACTTCGGATAGGGAGTAAACGGGTCCCCATGGTGGCTGTTTGCCTGGTTCAAGATCTATCGCATGGTCGTAGGATCGATGCGGTGGTAATTTGTCGGCTTCCGACGGTAGGAAGACTTTAAGGAACCCATGGAGCCAAGAGGGAAGAGTTTCGCGGAGGTTAACCGATTCATCTTCCAAAAGACAAATGCTACCGATGAATTGGGCCTCCGGATCGTCCAATACACCCTCGTCCATTTCTATTTGAGGTTCCTTGTCAGTGAAGCATCGACTCTTACAGTTCTCACCATCGTAGGAGACTTCCCCGTTTGACCTTATAACCGGCTTGTGTTCTTTCAACCACCAATTCGGTAGTATTGCATCGATGCCAACCGGGAGAGGGGCGATCTCGAATGATAGCTGTGTTTGATGCCCCCTTGACATTATAATTAATGGTTGTGTAAAGGCGTGTCCCGTGCCCTTCATAACTTCTCCCGTAAATCCAAATACCCGGGCCGGGACGTCTCGTTTCACCTTCGGGACCTCAAAACTATCAACAAAAACAGCAGACAAAACAGGACCAGTTGCACCAGTATCCAATAACACCTTACAAGGTAAACATTTTTCCGCAAAACAAAGGAGCTGATTAACGATAGGTCGAGGACCATGAATAGGTTCCTCCAAAATTTTCTGTTTTTTCTCCGGTTGGGACGCTCTCCCTTCCTGCCTTTTTCTTTTCATATTTTTTTTGTTGTTTTCTGTAACGGGGGTCTCTTCTAAGAGAAATAGAATAAGATAGAATAGAGACGGCCGTGCAAGATAGACAATCAGGTTGCAGATTATTCAAAGATACTATCGCTAGAACTCAATAATCTTTAAGGGCTCTGCTACCGATAAGAACTTGGTTTTTCTTTCTGATGAAGACTGGAGAGAACCGGACTCAAGGGCGAGAATGAACCTGAGTACTTATACTCCGAAGGCCTCTGTTCTCCGCTCCTAACTCCTTTACTAAGTTCCGGTGGGCCTTCCCTCAGTACCGGAAACAATACCACCGCTACCCCGCTTTTCTCTAAGCGTCAGCAGGTGTTTCCGATACCCAAGGCAACCACCCTTAGTCAAAGCCTTTGTAACACCTGCAGCCTTGGTTGCCACACAACCGAGGACCTGCATGAATGAGCTGTCGCTCAGGTGTAAG